GCGGCAGGGGATCGTATTCCAGGGACCTGCCCGAAACGCTACGCGTACTAGTGGCTGTACAAGAATGTAACAACTCTTGTATATATCTCAAAAAAAAAAAAAAATGGGAGCGCACCAGAGATTTATACAGTTGAATCGCCAACTTCCGTTTCTTAAAGTCAAAAGTTCATTTGATTATTTCAAGGGTTTGATTAGCTTTTTTTGACTGCTGCTCCTACAACTTTCAGTGAGTGGTGGATTTTGACTCCAAGATCCTTTTCTTCGTCAATCTGCTGTAATGGAATGTTTTTAATATGGTGGCGTGGGTTGCTGTATAGCTGGTTACCGTTTCCAAAAACGTGAACAGGTTTGTTAGGCAGGATCTATTTTTAACAAACCCATGATGTATCGATTTTACAAGTGTTCACCAAAAGATTGTGAATGATTCCCCTCCTTTATGATTCTCTCCATTAGTTTGCAGATGTGTGAAGTCAAACTGATTGAACAATAATGTTCTGCTGATTTTTTTTTTTAAATAGCGATGACATTTGCACATTTCCAATCTAGGGGGACTATCCCTCGGTCCAGAGATTTTGTGAAAAGTAACTTCAGCGGTAGACATATAGTTCTTCTTCCAGTTCCCTTATAACTTTGGATTGGATTCCATCCACACCTGGGGCTTTTGAGTCTTTTAGTTTGTCAATGTTCTTCCTGATTATGTCGCATGGTTTGGGTATATCCCTAAATTCATTCTCTTCACCTCCTTCAAACCTTTGTGAGGGTCATAGGATGTCCTCTAACCTTCCTAGTGTGAACACTGATGAAAAATAATAATTCAATTTTAAAATGAATTCATTGTGTCGGGAACAGGTAGCCAGAGTGTATTCATACACGTCAGGCTTCTATCGAGGTCCCTCCCTCCGCCACAAGGTCGAATTACCAACCCCGCCCAGGATGCAACACCCCCAAGAGATGCTGGCTGATTCCTGAGTATCTACTCATTGCTTGGTAAACTGTAGCATTAGCTGAAAGGAAACGTTCCCAGCCATTTCTGTCCCGCCCGGGATTCGAACCCAGAATTCTCGATTGCGCATCAAGAACGAACCAGACTGTACTTCCGGGACCACAAAATATACCTATTTTCCCTTTGTCCTTATTGTATTTCTCTTTGCTGAGTTTTCGTCTGATTTATTGGCGTATACAAATGTAATTATACACCACATATGCATACACTGTATAATTTAAAAACTATAATCACTGTTATTGCATGTTGTTGTTGTTTTAGATTCAGCTACTCAGAACATAAGTTCCAAGTAGCACGGGCTATGGTGAGCCCGTAGTGGACTTACCTGGCACAGGAGCGGGGCAAGTAGCACGGGCTATGGTGAGCCCGTAGTGGACTTACCTGGCACAAGAGCGGGGCAAGTAGCACGGGCTATGGTGAGCCCGTAGTGGACTTACCTGGCACAAGAGCGGGGCAAGTAGCACGGGCTATGGTGAGCCCGTAGTGGACTTACCTGGCACAGGAGCGGGGCAAGTAGCACGGGCTATGGTGAGCCCGTAGTGGACTTACCTGGCACAAGAGCGGGGCAAGTAGCACGGGCTATGGTGAGCCCGTAGTGGACTTACCTGGCACAAGAGCGGGGCAAGTAGCACGGGCTATGGTGAGCCCGTAGTGGACTTACCTGGCACAGGAGCGGGGCAAGTAGCACAGGCTATGGTGAGCCCGTAGTGGACTTACCTGGCACAAGAGCGGGGCAAGTAGCACGGGCTATGGTGAGCCTCGTCTCTATGTGTGTCGTGTGTTATTGCATACATATGAGATCTGAAATAATTCACTGGAGAGGTGACTCCTCACTTCTCAGTGCATACTTCTAAGTAGCAACAATATTAGCATTAATGTGGCAGCTAGTCCACATTCCAAGAAATTCTACACCAAACGCTTAAAGGTTCACAATCATCCCACAAACACTAATTACATCAGTACATGTCCCCCCCAAAAAAAATTCCACGTAGCGCACATGTTAGTCTGCAACGCCTCCTTTACGCCTGCAGTGCTCCTCTTACGCCTGGAACATCCTCCCATATGTTCCGTCAACTACTGACAACATCACAACTCCCTTAGCCTGGTGTGATGACGTCATTAATGTTGTCAGCTGGTGTAATGACGTCACCTCTTTTGTCACGGAAAACGGACGTAATTATTTAATAGAAATAACATGTATTAATTGGTGGCTCGCAAACCTTATGGTGAGATATACACAAATTGGGTACGAAAAATTAATTGAACTACATGTTTTCTCCTGTTTGTTTGTTTGGCTTAAGGTGCATAATTAATTAGGGTGTGTGAATATGGGTCACGTAATCAATCCTTCCCTTTGACCTTTGACCCTTGGGCCAAAAATATTTCCTGACTGGGCTTTATATGTGACGTAACTGGCGCAAACGTTTAACACATTTTTCCGATTCCCCTGGAGGCCCACCCCCGAGACTGTTGACCAGGCCACACACTAGAAAGTGAAGGGACCTTTCTGTCCGTCCTGGACCATTCTCAAGTTGATTGTGAGAATGGTCCAGGATGGACCGAAACGTCATAGTCCCTTCACTTTCTAATGTGTGGTCTGGTCAACATATTTCAGCAACGTTATTGTGACTCCTCGTCTGAATACAAGACTGTCCATGAACAAATCCACAAGGGCCGTGACGAGGATTCGAACCTACGTCTGTGAGCGTTCATTGATGCATCACGTTATTGTGATTTCTGTGTGTAACAAGACTGTCAACCTTGCCACCAGGGCAGGGTATATAACATGGATGAAGGCGTGGATGCTGTGAGATACCAGGGCAGGGTATATAACATGGATGAAGGCGTGGATGCTGTGAGATACCTGCGGTGCTCCAGGGAGGGGCCTAGAAATTATCGGTTGATTAGCAGTTAGATGGTTCTGAGATCCTTATTGTGAGTATCCTGTTCTTGTGGCGCAGAGTGTCGCAATTATATCCTTCAGGTCCGATTTTTGCTTCCGCGATGAAGTAGTCCAACCACTTGGACTGGACGGTAGAGAGACGGTCTCGCTTCATGCAGGTCGGCGTTCAATCCCCGACCGTCCAAGTGGTTGGGCACCATTCCATCCCCCCCCCCCATCCCATCCCAAATCCTTTTCCTGGTCTCTTCCAAGTGCTATATAGTCGTAATGGCTTGCCGCTTTCCCAAACAAGACTAAAACAGACGCGAGAAAGAAACAGGGGAAAAAGGAGGAAACCCCACCTCCATTTAATACTTTGACCCAAATATCAGAGTAACAAGGTTATCGCGAATAACCAAACTCAATTACGGGCTCACCATAGGCCGTGCTACATGGACATTTCGTTCTGAGTAGCTATATCTAAAACAACAACAACAACAAGGCGCTTTCCCCCTGATATTTCCCTTCCCCCGATGACCCAAGACAATTAAGTCAGCGAGGTGCTCCCACGCTCCCTCTGGCAGGGGCGGCAGCGTGTCGCATGCTGGTGCTCAAGTAGCAACTGTGAAGCCTGGGAATCAGAGGGTCAGATTCACCAAGACAGTTATACAGGGACTTACCAACGTGTAGATCTTTCCTCAATCTTTGACGGCTTTGGTTACATTTATTAAACAGTTTACAAGCATGAAAACTTCCCAATATACTGTTGTTATTGTTATAAATAGCCTTCTGGTGCCTTACAGCTCATTAATGTTATTAATTGTTCAATAATTGTAAACAAAGCCGCGAAAGTTTGAGAAAAGATGTACAGGTTCGTAAGTGCTTGCGTGAGTGCTTCGTGAATCTGGCCCCAAGGCTTTAAGATGATGAATGTAACCGATGACATTTCCAAACACATATTCATTAATTTATTATTCCCAATTATTCGTTGTGAATAATGAATTACCAAACGTCACCCTGTCGCATGTCGGCTATATGAGCTCCCAACTTACAACTCCATGACAAGTTTCCCGGTAGCAATGGATCGCTTTGAACCTTTCCCTTCAAACGATCCAATTAGACCCCCTTGACGCTATTCAGACACAACAGTGCGTGCGGGTGAGCATTACACACACACACACCCAATGGCTCACATCTCATTCACTCGTATCTCCGTATTTGAGTTTGTTTACAAACAAATATCCATGCATATCCATGTAATATGCAACTCCTGTAAGGCACCCGAATTAATAAAATGTCTCTAAGCACTTTTTGCAACTTACTGCAACACTTCTATTTTGGGCAAAATGGGGTTAACTGAACACTTTAGATCATGCTCCGCGTCATCTATGGTTCATGGAGGATGGCAGAATGGTGCATGTTTTCTGCATTCTGGATCTATATATGTTGGCTCAGATGGGATTGGTCAGTTGTGAATGACAAAGGTCTCTGACAAGTTGCTAATTTGGCTTCGACCCCTCCTCAAGCCGGGCTCTCAACCCAGGCTCTCAACCCAGTCTCTTAACCCAGGCTCTCAACCCAGGCTCTTAACCCAGGCTCTTAACCCAGGCTCTCAACCCAGGCTCTCAACCCAGGCTCTCAACCCAGGCTCTCAACCCAGGCTCTCAACCCAGGCTCTTAACCCAGGCTCTCAACCCAGGCTCTCAACCCAGGCTTTCAACCCAGGCTCTCAACCCAGGCTCTCAACCCAGGCTCTCAACCCAGGCTCTCAACCCAGGCTCTCAACCCAGGCTCTCAACCCAGGCTCTCAACCCAGGCTCTCAACCCAGGCTCTTAACCCAGGCTCTCAACCCAGGCTCTCAACCCAGGCTCTCAACCCAGGCTTTCAACCCAGGCTCTCAACCCAGGCTCTCAACCCAGGCTCTCAACCCAGGCTCTCAACCCAGGCTCTCAACCCAGGCTCTCAACCCAGGCTCTCAACCCAGGCTCTCAACCCAGGCTCTCAACCAGTCATCAAGTCAGGCTCTCAGCCTATCAAGATACGGTATTGAACCCTTCGTTAAGCCAGACTTTCCATGCACCCACACGCCAGGCTCTTTAATAATAATAATAATACATAATAAATAATGTTTATTCACAGCCATGTACATACATACAAGAAGCGTTACAAACAGAATGTTGTATTTCTAGATAGAGTTAATACACACTATACCTACAACCACTAATACGCAAGGGTAAGATGTGTGAACAACACTAAGACTAAAACTTAAAACTAATTGAGATCAAAGCATAAATTTAATTGAAAAAAATAGAATGATAATAATAACATGATAAATGGTACAACAGAAATTGAAACAGGAAAGCAGAAGTAATTTTAACTAAATAAACAGAAGACTACAATTTTCTTCAAGTTTATACATGGCGGATATCAACAGTTACACAAGTTGGTAAACAAATGGTTTTGGTTCAATTAGTATGTATTCGTATTTAAAGTACGTTGACGAATGATATGACGAAGCACGATTCACACACATGAATTGAACGAAGGATTTTATGTGAAAAGTATTGTGATGTAAAGCATATGTTCAAGTGGTACAGTGGAGTGTTCTTTTGTGAGTTAACGCTCTAGTGGGACCACTGTAACGCTCTAGTAGGACCACTGTAACGCTCTAGTGGGACCACTGTAACGCTCTAGTGAGACCACTGTAACGCTCTAGTGAGACCACTGTAACGCTCTAGTGAGACCACTGTAACGCTCTAGTGGGACCACTGTAACGCTCTAGTGGGACCACTGTAACGCTCTAGTGGGACCACTGTAACGCTCTAGTGGGACCACTGTAACGCTCTAGTGGGACCACTGTAACGCTCTAGTGAGACCACTGTAACGCTCTAGTGGGACCACTGTAACGCTCTAGTGGGACCACTGTAACGCTCTAGGGGGGACCACTGTAACGCTCTGGCATGGTCACAGCGATGCTGCCTTAATTTACACACAATACTGTGACTCTCCAGTGCAAGAGTTCACTGCATCATGAGCATAATTGTAGAGTGTGAACGAGTGTAATGTGGCTTTACTGCCTCAGTAACCGACGTGATCAGCGTCACCAACTACGCTGGGCGTCTCATTACACACCCACTGTCGAGGCTGTGATGTGTTGAACAGTGGTCGCCGTGTTAGGACCACCATTTTGTTCCTCCTTGTCTAAGCACTGCAGTCCTGCCATGACACAGAAACCCAAAAACAGCGTTGAGAATCGCACCCAGCCTCCCTTACACTTGGCGCGTTCCCTCTCCAAAACCTCACAAAAGGCGACGTACAGTATTGTACCTGCTGCCAGCGACTGTAGGACGTTGGGGATCAAGACGTTTGCTCCAGTTTCTCCAGATGAGAGAGACGGAGATAGAGCGCTATATCCTATGAAGCCTCCAATGGGAGAGGCCAAGGAGAAAATAATCATGGACGCCAAGAAGGGCTTTAGAGAAAGCCCGACTTCCAGGAGCTCCATGGATATGCTGAAGGCTATGACAAACTTGTGCGCGCCCACAGCACCGAAGAGAATCCAGACGCTTGTAGCATCCCTCGCAAGACCAATTGCCAGACCCTCCATGATGCTGTGAAATGACAGCGCCACAACCACTACCACGGCTTCCAGGATGGAAGTGCTTTGGCTGAAACTGGAGACATGGTGGTTGGCGTGAGGTGTTGTGTGTGCACTCTGTGCAGAGGCGTCGCTTTCTGGGGCCCTGGTTATATAGGTGCCTTCAGTTGCCTCGTTTATTAGTCCCATTTCTCCCACAACATTTACTTTACCTTCCTTCCGGTTGTTTGGCATTGTATCTTCCGAAGTCTTCCTTGGCTCTGTTTCCTGTCCATTTTCAAGATTGCTTTCGTTCACCGTGGTCTGTGCCCCACTCTCACGCTCCTGGTGTAAGCCTATACAACTATGAATAATTTCTTCGATCAGAAACACAAGGAAGAAACCGAAGCACAAGATCAACTCCGCCAGAGGGTAGCTGATGGGCTTCATGTACCCGACGTCCATGGCATACGCATAAGTGTCCTTCGTCTCCGGCATTAGATGTAAGAAAACAGTGGCGATGAGGACTCCAGCTCCGAAGCACAGGCATCCGCTGATCACACTCTGCGAGTCAGAAACCTTCACTTAGCATTGTGTGGGAAATAATATGTCATGATAGTGTAATGGATGTAGTGATAGCTCTGGATTGTGGGAGGGGGGGGGGGGGAGGAACTGAAGGAATGGTAATATTTTCAACTGTCAAACAAAGAGTCTCATTTGATGTAGTGAAGGAAAACACTGTTGTTGTATATGAGGTCAACATGGAGGACGCAGGATGCAGAAACATGCAGGCGATGAGTCACAATAACGTGGCTGAAGTATGTTGACCAGACCACACACTAGAAGGTGAAGGGACGACGACGTTTCGGTCCCTCTTGGACCATTCTCAAGTCGATTGTGAGAAGGGTCCAAGACGGACGGAAACGTCGTCGTCCCTTCACCTTCTAGTGTGTGGTCTGGTCAACATGCAGAAACATGTTCTGATGGTTGGATGATGCTCCTTCCCACACACACAGTGCGGCCATTGCTAACCCATCAGATAAATGCTGAACTGTCACATTTTATCTATAATACTCTAATATCTTCTCTGATATTATTAATTTATATTCAAGAAACTGCGAAGGAATTATCCTATGGTTCATCAGGCTATAGTTCAGGACCGGGAACCTCTTAGGCCTATCGAGACTAACTACTGGTGACCTCAAGGATGCATGCAACATAAGTTATCCAATTCCCAGGTACCCCTTTATTGCTAGTTGAACCAAGGCATAAGGTGAAAGCAAAACCGTCCCATCTACTTTGTCTCGCCCAAGCATCGAACTCAGTATCTTCGATTGTTAGTCAAAAACGAAGAACCTTATGCTATAGGATCCTGATTGATCCTAGGGGTGTAATTTTGCCCATTTCTGTTGGCTATGTGTTCACGAGCAGCCAATTTGACCATTACATGATACAACAACAACGCGGCACCTGACTCAGCAGGGAAAGGAAGCGGCCTACCTGACGCCTGTCCTGGTGGACCCAGCGGGTTAGCGCCCTGCGCATGTACAGCGGCAGGACGCTCATCAGGAGGGTGCCGGCGGCCAGGACCACCAGGGCCGTCGTCTTCGCGCCATCCACCTCCATCTCCTGAAGGTTGTCGAACCCTGGCCAGCCGCGTGCGTCTCTGGAACATTACGATGGATCACTTTCCCCATCTCGCTGTCTCTTTTTCTTTGGGTTTAATTCCATTGATTGATTTTCTTCACTTTTATGTATTTGTCACGTGTGTAATGGTATAAATTTTTATATGTTTATGGAAGCTATTTTGGTAATTGTGCAAAAGTTCGTCTAGCGCCTCGTGATTTTGATTTATTGACATTTTTTTTTTCGTGTTTCAACCTTCCCAGAAGTCGAAAAGCCTACGGTCCAACCAGCGTGGAACAAGATGTCGACAGCCAATCGTGAATGGAATCATTTGTCGACATTCCTACAAATGTCAGTTGTTCAACCATCTGTCTACCAGACGCCAACAGTCTAACCAATAAACGGACATCAGGTCAAGCAGTAGCCAATCAGAAAGCCTCAGCTCAACCAGAAGCCAATCAATCAATCAGCAGGCGCCTAGTCAAATTAACTCAAGTCACACAGATAATAAAATTCTTGTAAATAACTACTTAGTGTCTTTTGAAGAGTGTGGATATTGCTTTAAAGTAAAATCTTTTGTTTCGTAACATTTTGTGGACTTTTTAAGGTATGTAAAAGTCTGTTTATTGTAATATTGGCCAGCGAGGCCAAGCATTAGTGCACACTCCTCGTGTCGTCAGCCCTGGCACCAGCGGGTCGACGGGGCGCTGATAAGTGTTGCTACTGACATAGTTCTCTCTGGCACGCTTCTGATAAGGTAGCTGGGGTGTTGTTGTTGGTTGGTGGTTGGTGGTTGTTGTTGGTGGTTGTTGTTGTTGTTGCTGTTGTTGTACACATCAGAAGACGAAGAGACGACGACATTTCAAGTCCGTGGTGGACCATTGTCAGGTTGTGTGGCACAAGACTTGATAATGGTCCTGGACGGACCGAAACGTTTCGGCCGTTTCTCCCATCTTTTGGTGTGTGGTTTGGTCGTCATATCGTGAGCCCCGTTATTGTGACTCGTCGTGTACTCTTGTTGTTTAAGTGGGGTTGTTGCTGTTATAACTCCAGTTGTTGTTGTTGTTTGTTGTTACTATTGTTGGTGTTGTTTGTTGATGTTGTTGATGTTACCTTCGTTGTTGAAGGTTTTATAAGCCGCGTCCATTTATATTGCAGACAAAATATTTTTAGTCTGCAATAATTACACACACTATACAATACTATACAAATCACACACACTATACTTTGCAAACAATAACACACGCACACACACACACACACACACACACACACACACACACACACACACACACACACACACACACACACACACACACACACACACACACACAATAGCAACAGAACGAGGGGACATGGGTGGAAGCTGGAAACTCAGATGAGTCACAGAGATGTTAGGAAGTTTTCTTTTAGCGTGAGAGTAGTGGAAAAACGGAATGCACTTAAGGAACAGGTTGTGGAAGTGTGTGTGTGTGTGTGTGTGTGTGTGTGTGTGTGTGTGTGTGTGTGTGTGTGTGTGTGTGTGTGTGTGTGTGTGTGTGTGTGTGTGTGTGTGCGTGTGTTATTGTTTGCAAAGTATAGTGTGTGTAATTTGTATAGTATTGTATAGTGTGTGTAATTATTGCAGACTAAAAATATTTTGCAATAATTTTTATTAAATGACTTCAGTTAGTTGCAGTGTGTGGCCCTCGTGACAACATAAATGTGTCCCAATGGCCCTCAGAGCCCTTCAGTTTGACATGCCTGAATAGTATATAATCTTGAGTTAATGAATGTCATAATTTTTTGCCTAAAGTCTCATTTAACTTCTATCTCCTCCATTGTTGACTTACACAACAGACATATCTACCTTCTTATTCAGCAGTTGGTTGGATTGGGGCTGGGCCTGTAGGACGGTAATTAGTACTATTAATGGTCTTGTTCAAAACAATCACTGTCAAGTATCTGCTGTAATGTTGACCAGACCACACACTAGAAGTTGAAGGGACGACGACGTTTCGGTCCGTCCTGGACTATTCTCAAGTCGATTTGAGTCGACAATCGACTTGAGAATGGTCCAGGACGGACCAAAACGTCGTCGTCCCTTCAACTTCTAGTGTGTGGTCTGGTCAGCATACTTCAGCCACGTTATTGTGACTCTTCGCCTGCATCTGCTGTAATGTATTAAAGAGACGGATTAGGAGTTTAGGTGAACACTTAGAAGATATGAAGTTTGTCTCCAAGCATCAACAGGGATTCATCAAAGAGAAACCATGCTTGACCAACTTAGTGTGTTCTGCGTCAAGATGTTAACAGTCGTACAGGAGAACGGGAGTTGGGTGAACTATAGTTTCTCAGATTGGCAGACAGCTAATAACTATTCATTAGAAGCGACTCCAATATGAAGTTGAGAAGCCGGTTGGTGTAGAATTACTTCTGAGGAAGTAGGCAGTGAGTCACAGTGAGAGATTATTAAGAGAGTGGAGTACCTCAGGGGTCGGTACTAGCGCCCGTTCTTATTAGTCTCCGTGGTGTAGTGGTAAGACACTCGCCTGGCATTCCGCAAGCGCTTTGTCATGGGTTCGTATCCTGGCCGGGGAGGATTTACTGGGCGCAAATCCTTAACTGTAGCCTCTGTTTAACGCAACAGTAAAATGTGTACTTGGTTGTAACAACGATTCTTCGCGGCGGGGATCGTATTCCAGGGACCTGCCCGAAACGCTACGCGTACAAGAATGTAACAACTCTTGTATATATCTCAAAAGAAAATAACAGACAATAGGAACCAAACAGAGGAAGTAAGCTCATTCAAATCAATGTATGTTGATAATGCTAAACTAATGAGATGGATCAGGATTGAGTAGGATTGAATACATTACAAGATGGACTAAACAGTCTCCAGAGATATGGCCACTTAACTTTAATCTAGACAAATGCAAGGTTACTTTGATTGGAATAAAAACAAAGCTTCCAATACAATGCACAAAGAACGGAAGTTAAAGACCCACTAATAAAAAGAAGAAAACTTGGGAAAGTTATAACTCAGCTCTAAGCAGAATATTGTCGGCCTCATATGTTTAAAAGGAATTTTGCCGGAACTTCGACGAAGAACCCTACCGTTGGACAAAGTGACATCCTTCAGTACACTCACGCGAGAACGTCAGCAGTGTGACATCCTTCAGTACACTCACGCGAGAACGTCAGCAGTGTGACATCCTTCAGTACACTCACGCGAGAACGTCAGCAGTGTGACATCCTTCAGTACACTCACGCGAGAACGTCAGCAGTGTGACATCCTTCAGTACACTCACGCGAGAACGTCAGCAGTGTGACATCCTTCAGTACACTCACGCGAGAACGTCAGCAGTGTGACATCCTTCAGTACACTCACGCGAGAACGTCAGCAGTGTGACATCCTTCAGTACACTCACGCGAGAACGTCAGCAGTGTGACATCCTTCAGTACACTCACGCGAGAACGTCAGCAGTGTGACATCCTTCAGTACACTCACGCGAGAACGTCAGCAGTGTGACATCCTTCAGTACACTCACGCGAGAACGTCAGCAGTGTGACATCCTTCAGTACACTCACGCGAGAACGTCAGCAGTGTGACATCCTTCAGTACACTCACGCGAGAACGTCAGCAGTGTGACATCCTTCAGTACACTCACGCGAGAACGTCAGCAGTGTGACATCCTTCAGTACACTCACGCGAGAACGTCAGCAGTGTGACATCCTTCAGTACACTCACGCGAGAACGTCAGCAGTGTGACATCCTTCAGTACACTCACGCGAGAACGTCAGCAGTGTGACATCCTTCAGTACACTCACGCGAGAACGTCAGCAGTGTGACATCCTTCAGTACACTCACGCGAGAACGTCAGCAGTGTGACATCCTTCAGTACACTCACGCGAGAACGTCAGCAGTGTGACATCCTTCAGTACACTCACGCGAGAACGTCAGCAGTGTGACATCCTTCAGTACACTCACGCGAGAACGTCAGCAGTGTGACATCCTTCAGTACACTCACGCGAGAACGTCAGCAGTGTGACATCCTTCAGTACACTCACGCGAGAACGTCAGCAGTGTGACATCCTTCAGTACACTCACGCGAGAACGTCAGCAGTGTGACATCCTTCAGTACACTCACGCGAGAACGTCAGCAGTGTGACATCCTTCAGTACACTCACGCGAGAACGTCAGCAGTGTGACATCCTTCAGTACACTCACGCGAGAACGTCAGCAGTGTGACATCCTTCAGTACACTCACGCGAGAACGTCAGCAGTGTGACATAGTTCAGTACACTCACGCGAGAACGTCAGCAGTGTGACATCCTTCAGTACACTCACGCGAGAACGTCAGCAGTGTGACATCCTTCAGTACACTCACGCGAGAACGTCAGCAGTGTGACATCCTTCAGTACACTCACGCGAGAACGTCAGCAGTGTGACATCCTTCAGTACACTCACGCGAGAACGTCAGCAGTGTGACATAGTTCAGTACACTCACGCGAGAACGTCAGCAGTGTGACATCCTTCAGTACACTCACGCGAGAACGTCAGCAGTGTGACATCCTTCAGTACACTCACGCGAGAACGTCAGCAGTGTGACATCCTTCAGTACACTCACGCGAGAACGTCAGCAGTGTGACATAGTTCAGTACACTCACGCGAGAACGTCAGCAGTGTGACATCCTTCAGTACACTCACGCGAGAACGTCAGCAGTGTGACATCCTTCAGTACACTCACGCGAGAACGTCAGCAGTGTGACATCCTTCAGTACACTCACGCGAGAACGTCAGCAGTGTGACATCGTTCAGTACACTCACGCGAGAACGTCAGCAGTGTGACATCCTTCAGTACACTCACGCGAGAACGTCAGCAGTGTGACATCCTTCAGTACACTCACGCGAGAACGTCAGCAGTGTGACATCCTTCAGTACACTCACGCGAGAACGTCAGCAGTGTGACATCCTTCAGTACACTCACGCGAGAACGTCAGCAGTGTGACATCCTTCAGTACACTCACGCGAGAACGTCAGCAGTGTGACATCCTTCAGTACACTCACGCGAGAACGTCAGCAGTGTGACATCCTTCAGTATTTCATGACTGCTACGAGCCCATTCTCCTGTTTAGATAGTAGTTTTTGTAACTATGTGCACCATAGTACAAAGATTGCCGTTCTAAGCAATTAGATAGTAGAACTTTGTACTATTCACTTTATAGAGTCGGAAAAAAATGAAGCTAAAAAACAAACTTAAATATTCCTAGGCCTAGTATAGCACACATATGTACTATATTAGGCCTCATATATCGTATATTAGGCCTAGGAAGGTTAGGTTAGTTTAGTTTAGTTTGTATTTGCAACATAAGTAGAAAATAGTTTTTCTGTTTGTCCAACCCAATTAGTGCCGATTTCTACTTTCTAATTTCGTTGTACGTCGGTATATATACTATGGTCCTCATCGTTACTATTAGTACTACCAAAACAGGAAGATGGGCTGGAAACAACCCAACTATATCAAACTATATAAACAAATTAAAGGTCAATTAATCGTGGAAATCATTCAAAAGGTAAAAATATCTCTATAGACCAACTCGACCACAGAACCTCGGCCTCAATGGGGTCAGTCGTTCAGAAATAATTGGCTTCAATGTCCTCCATGATTTATATTTACGTATAAATGTATAACTTTTAGTATCACATTAATGTCCCTCACCAGAACTCAGTATGTCCAACAACGTTAGTCTCATTCACTCATAATTATTGCAACACAACACCGTTAATTGCTCGTACAATCTCATGCGTCGTTAATGTATCTACTGATGGGATGATAATTAGTCATATGAGACATATGAGACATATGAGACATAAGTGATTCAGAGACTATTGGGGGACAAATGAATCAGATAATTAAGGGGGGACAGAAATGAGCCAGAGACTGATGGGGTAATTTTGAGTAAGAGTGGGGATAGAAATGAACCAGAGATTGATGGGGTAATTTTGAGTAAGAGTGGGTATAGAAATGAACCAGAGATTGATGGGGTAATTTTGAGTAAGAGTGGGGATAGAAATGAACCAGAGATTGATGGGGTAATTTTGAGTAAGAGTCGGAATAGAAATGAACCAGAGATTGATGGGGCACAAGTGAGTCAGTGATTGATCGGACGTTAAAGATGGGATTTGAAGGAAACAGAGATTGATGGGACACAAGTGATTCAGAGAGTAAAGAGACACCAGTGAGTCAGAGACAGATGGAATGTTATCAGTCAGGGACTGATGTAAGTTTAGTGAGTCAGAGATTGATGGGGCTCTAGTGAGTAAGGGAATGGTGGATTACGAGTCACTCATAAATTGATAAAACCCTCAATGGACTGGAGAAGCCTCACTCCGGTCGATTGATCGCCACGTGTCGGGGACCAGGAGCTCGAGCCCATTCTCCTAAAAACAGATGAGCACACATCTCCCGCGCTAAACACCGTGTAAAGCTGACACATGTCAAACACCAGGTAAAGATGTGACACATGCCAAACACAGGGTAAAGATGTGACACATGCCAAACACAGGGTAAAGATGTGACACATGCCAAACACAGGGTAAAGATGTGACACATGCCAAACACAGGGTAAAGATGTGACACATGCCAAACACAGGGTAAAGATGTGACACATTCCAAACACAGGGTAAAGATGTGACACATTCCAAACACAGGGTAAAGATGTGACACATTCCAAACACAGGGTAAAGATGTGACACATTCCAAACACAGGGTAAAGATGTGACACATGCCAAACACAGGGTAAAGATGTGACACATGCCAAACACAGGGTAAAGATGTGTCACATGCCAAACACAGGGTAAAGATGTGACACATTCCAAACACAGGGTAAAGATGTGACACATTCCAAACACAGGGTAAAGATGTGACACATGCCAAACACCACGTAAAGATGTGACACATGCCAAACACCAGGTAAAGATGTGACACATGCCAAACACCAGGTAAAGATGTGACACATGCCAAACACAGGGTAAAGATGTGACACATTCCAAACACAGGGTAAAGATGTGTCACATGCCAAACACATGGTAAAGATGTGACACATTCCAAACACAGGGTAAAGATGTGTCACATGCCAAACACAGGGTAAAGATGTGACACATTCCAAACACAGGGTAAAGATGTGACACATGCCAAACACCAGGTAAAGATGTGACACATGCCAAACACAAGGTAAGATGTGACACATGCCAAACACCAGGTAAAGATGTGACACATGCCAAACACCAGGTAAAGATGTGACACATGCCAAACACCAGGTAAAGATGTGACACATGCCAAACACCAGGTAAAGATGTGACACATGCCAAACACCAGGTAAAGATGTGACACATGCCAAACACCAGGTAAAGATGTGACACATGCCAAACACCAGGTAAAGATGTGACACATGCCAAACACCAGGTAAAGATGTGACACATGCCAAACACCAGGTAAAGATGTGACACATGCCAAACACCAGGTAAAGATGTGACACATGCCAAACACCAGGTAAAGATGTGACACATGCCAAACACCAGGTAAAGATGTGACACATGCCAAACACCAGGTAAAGGTGTGACACATGCCAAACACCAGGTAAAGATGTGACACACACCAAACACCAGGTAAAGATGTGACACACACCAAACACCAGGTAAAGATGTGACACACACCAAACACCAGGTAAAGATGTGACACACACCAAACACCAGGTAAAGATGTGACACACACCAAACACCAGGTAAAGATGTGACACACACCAAACACCAGGTAAAGATGTGACACACACCAAACACCAGGTAAAGATGTGACACACACCAAACACAGGGTGTTGATTAGGAGAAAACACAAAGCCTGTATAACTACACAGAAGATAAACACAGGCTGCACTTATTGATGTTAAGAAAGTATTAAATCCACTCTTAACCCTTAAACACTGGCGAGAAAACTAAACACAAATGCCTAAGTAAACATCCTGACTCCTCTAATACCTACACAACAAATCTTCCATAACAAAACATAAAAACATTAGTAGCAACTATTATTTCGTTGGACTACCAGCATGTACCTCACCTGAAACCACTGCATATAAAATATAGATATATATATATATCTATTAGTGGCTGTGAGCCCTCTCTTTCTCCCGTGTGTGTGTGTGTGTCTGAGACAAGCCAGGGGGCTAACCGGTCTTGGTGGCGTCGCTGTCAGTCAAATATTGAAGCTGTAAGTGTGTAACTATCAACCCATATATGTAGGCTCCTCCCGCGGCACCACCTGACGCGGAATATTATATAATTGAACAAAAAAATATGGTGTTCCGATTCTAATCTGAAATGCACATGTCGATTAGAGCGGTTCTCTGAGGATATTGATAAGATGACTGTTATCTACTGTTGTTATATGTAGGTCATATGCAAGATCTGGGAGACATGTTCTGCTTTACCAACTAAGAGAGAGACTGTTCCTTACACACTGAGAGAGAGACTGTTCCTTACAGACTGAGAGAGGGACTGTTCCTTATAGACTGAGAGAGGGACTGTTCCTTACACACTGAGAGAGGGACTGTTCCTTACACACTGAGAGATGGACTGTTCCTTACACACTGAGAGAGGGACTGTTCCTTACAGACTGAGAGAGGGACTGTTCCTTACAGACTGAGAGTGGGACTGTTCCTTACAGACTGAGAGTGGGACTGTTCCTTACACACTGAGAGAGGGACTGTACTTTACACACTGAGAGTGGGACTGTACCTTACACACTGAGAGTGGGACTGTTCCTTACACACTGAGAGAGGGACTGTACCTTACACACTGAGAGAGGGACTGTTCCTTACAGACTGAGAGTGGGACTGTTCCTTACACACTGAGAGTGGGACTGTTCCTTACACACTGAGAGAGGGACTGTACCTTACAGATTGAGAGAGGGACTGTTCCTTACAGACTGAGAGTGGGACTGTTCCTTACACACTGAGAGAGGGACTGTTCCTTACACACTGAGAGAGGGACTGTTCCTTACAGACTGAGAGTGGGACTGTTCCTTACACACTGAGAGAGGGACTGTTCCTTACACACTGAGAGAGGGACTGTTCCTTACACTCCGAGAGAGGGACTGTTCCTTACAGACTGAGAGTGGGACTGTTCCTTACACACTGAGAGAGGGACTGTTCCTTACACACAGAGAGAGGGACTGTTCCTTACACACTGAGAGTGGTACTGTACCTTACACACTGAGAGAGGGACTGTTCCTTACACACTGAGAGTGGGACTGTACCTTACAGACTGAGAGAGGGACTGTTCCTTACACACTGAGAGTGGGACTGTTCCTTACACACTGAGAGTGGGACTGTACCTTACACACTGAGAGAGGGACTGTTCCTTACACACTGAGAGTGGGACTGTTCCTTACACACTGAGAGAGGGACTGTACCTTACAGACTGAGAAAGGGACTGTTCCTTACACACTGAGAGTGGGACTGTTCCTTACACACTGAGAGTGGGACTGTACCTTACAGACTGAGAGAGGGACTGTTCCTTACACACTGAGAGTGGGACTGTTCCTTACACACTGAGAGTGGGACTGTACCTTACACACTGAGAGAGGGACTGTTCCTTACACACTGAGAGTGGGACTGTTCCTTACACACTGAGAGAGAGACTGTACCTTACACACTGAGAGTGGGACTGTTCCTTACAGACTGAGAGTGGGACTGTACCTTACACACTGAGAGAGGGACTGTTCCTTACACACTGAGAGAGAGACTGTACCTTACACACTGAGAGTGGGACTGTTCCTTACAGACTGAGAGTGGGACTGTACCTTACACACTGAGAGAGGGACTGTTCCTTACACACTGAGAGAGAGACTGTTCCTTACACACTGAGAGAGGGACTGTTCCTTACACACTGAGAGAGGGACTGTACCTTACAGACTGAGAGAGGGACTGTACCTTACACACTGAGAGAGGGACTGTACCTTACACACTGAGAGAGGGACTGTTCCTTACACACTGAGAGAGGGACTGTACCTTACACACTGAGAGAGAGACTGTTCCTTACACACTGAGCGAGGGACTGTTCCTTACAGACTGAGAGAGGGACTGTTCCTTACACACTGAGAGAGGGACTGTACCTTACACACTGAGAGATGTTCCTCACACTGCTTCTAGAGTTATACACACACACAACAGAACGTGTTAGGCAGCACAGATAAACTTGAGTTAAAATTAGGAGTAACATCTTTCACTGATTTTGTTACCTTATTTGTGTTGAATTTTCTGGGTAGCTTATGTAAGGTCTTTTATGACCTGAGATGAGATACGTATCTTAACTAGACGTATAGTTCATCCCACAGCGCCAGATCTGCTTACCCAAAATCCCAAAATGGCTCACTAGATACTCAGATTAGTCACCAATTAATCTGCCAATTATATATATATATATATATATATATATATATATATATATATATATATATATATATATATATATATATATATATATATATATATATATATATATATATATATATATATATATATATTTTGGTAGCAGTCTTTCCTGTAGACATATATTATTAAATATGACCGAAAAAGTAAGATTAATAATTCTAACACGAATTTTCTCAATCTTTCGTAGATTTCTTTTCACTGTTGGAGGTAATTCAAAAATTAATTCTCCAAAATTCATTTTTATTTCTAGTCTGACGCGACACTTGAGCGCGTTTCGTAAAACTTATTACATTTTCAAAGACTTTACACATACACAACTGAATAGAACTTACATATCTCCGATTTGTTTATATCTACATTTGAGTGAGGTGGTATTTATAGGGTATTAATTTCATCAACACAAGACAGAACACGAAACAATGGGTATTGAAATGGAAGTGATTGTAGAAAGCTTATTGGTCCATATTTCTTGATGCTTCTATATTGGAGCGGAGTCTTGAGGTGGGTAGAATATTGTTGTGCATTAATTGGCTGTTGATTGCTGGTGTTGACTTCTTAATGTGCAGTGCCTCGCAAACGTCAAGCCGTCTGCTATCGCTGTATCTATCGATGATTTCTGTGTTGTTTACTAGGATTTCTCTGGCGATGGTTTGGTTGTGGGAAGAGATTATATGTTCCTTAATGGAGCCCTGTTGCTTATGCATCGTTAAACGCCCAGAAAGAGATGTTGTTGTCTTGCCTATATACTGGGTTTTTTGGAGCTTACAGTCCCCAAGTGGGCATTTGAAGGCATAGACGACGTTGGTCTCTTTTAAAGCGTTCTGCTTTGTGTCTGGAGAGTTTCTCATGAGTAGGCTGGCCGTTTTTCTGGTTTTATAGTAAATCGTCAGTTGTATCCTCTGATTTTTGTCTGTAGGGATAACGTTTCTATTAACAATATCTTTCAGGACCCTTTCCTCCGTTTTATGAGCTGTGGAAAAGAAGTTCCTGTAAAATAGTCTAATAGGGGGTATAGGTGTTGTGTTAGTTGTCTCTTCAGAGGTTGCATGGCGTTTCACTTTCCTTCTTATGATGTCTTCGACGAAACCATTGAAGAACTCTGTAGGGTAAGGCAGGTCCTAGTCAACAACGGCTTCTCCAATGGTTTCGTCGAAGACATCATAAGAAGGAAAGTGAAACGCCATGCAACCTCTGAAGAGACAACTAACACAACACCTATACTCCCTATTAGACTATTTTACAGGAACTTTTTTTCCACAGCTCATAAAACGGAGGAAAGGGTCCTGAAAGATATTGTTAATAGAAACGTTATCCCTACAGACAAAAATCAGAGGATACAACTGACGATTTACTATAAAACCAGAAAAACGGCCAGCCTACTCATGAGAAACTCTCCAGACACAAAACAGAACGCTTTAAAAGAAACCAACGTCGTCTATGCCTTCAAATGCCCACTTGGGGACTGTAAGCTCCAAAAAACCCAGTATATAGGCAAGACAACAACATCTCTTTCTGGGCGTTTAACGATGCATAAGCAACAGGGCTCCATTAAGGAACATATAATCTCTTCCCACAACCAAACCATCGCCAGAGAAATCCTAGTAAACAACACAGAAATCATCGATAGATACAGCGATAGCAGACGGCTTGACGTTTGCGAGGCACTGCACATTAAGAAGTCAACACCAGCAATCAACAGCCAATTAATGCACAACTATATTCTACCCACCTCAAGACTCCGCTCCAATATAGAAGCATCAAGAAATATGGACCAATAGGCTTTCTACAATCACTTCCATTTCAATACCCATTGTTTCGTGTTCTGTCTTGTGTTAATGAAATTAATACCCTATTAAATACCACCTCACTCAAATGTAGATATAAACAAATCGGAGATATGTAAGTTCTATTCAGTTGTGTATGTGTAAAGTCTTTGAAAATGTAATAAGTTTTACGAAACGCGCTCAAGTGTTGCGTCAGACTAGAAATAAAAATAAATTTTGGAGAATTGATTTTTGAATTACCTCCAGCAGTGAAAAGAAATGTACGAAAGATTGAGAAAATTCGTGTTAGAATTATTAATCTTACTTTTCGGCCATATTTAATATATATATATATATATATATATATATATATATATATATATATATATATATATATATATATATATATATATATATATGTCGTACCTAGTAGCCAGAACGCACTTCTCAGCCTACTATACAAGGCCCGATTTGCCTAATAAGCCAAGTTTTCATGAATTAATGTTTTTTCGACTACCTAACCTACCTAACCTAACCTAACTTTTTCGGCTGCCTAACCTAACCTAACCTATAAAGATAGGTTAGGTTAGGTTAGGTAGGGTTGGTTAGGTTCGGTCATTTATCTACGTTAATTTTAACTCCAATAAAAAGTAATTGCCCTCATACATAATGAAATGGGTAGCTTTACCATTTCATAAGAAAAAAAATAGAAAAAATATATTAATTCAGGAAAATTTGGCTTATTAGGCAAATCGGGCCTTGCATAGTAGGCTGAGAAGTGCATTCTGGCTACTAGGTACGACATATATATATATATATATATATATATATATATATATATATATATATATATATATATATATATATATATATATTTATATATATATATGTCGTACCTAATAGCCAGAACGCACTTCTGAGCCTACTATGCAAGGCCCGATTTGCCTAATAAGCCAAGTTTTCATGAATTAACTGTTTTTCGACAACCTAACCTAC